GATCGGATCCGGTGTAGTATTCAATGCCGAAGCTTTCTTCAAGGTAAGCTATCCGATAGTATGGGAGACTCCGACATCACTGGCTAATAATTATGCTAGGAATTGTCTCAGCTGGAGACCAAGGGCCTACCTCGAGTGTACGAGCGCATGCATGTCAGCTCGCGATGCCACCTAAACCTCGCCCTGCATGCCGCCGTCGACGGGCTTGCTGAAGCTGAGCTAGGCGCCAACCAAATCGGAACAACGTAAGCATATTTTAGGGACGGATCTTCAATCGCCAACTATCCAATCCAGCACACCTCTGGCCTTGCTACATCCCCTTTTCCAGCAATTGCGAACTTAAAAAATAAGTTCGATAGAAACATAACACTTCGATTTCTCCTATTTTAGTTACGTAAAGCTCGATTACTAACGCCAGAGCTAATAGCAAGCGAGGAATTGGCCCGTCCTATTCGCAAAAGGCTGCGCGAGATGGTCTAAGGATAATAGACATCTACTCCGATTCCTTCGAGTCCAAGTTACGCATTCTAGCACAGGGCTACCTCAAGCGGTATGGCGAGCTGTTAAAGTATGACATCGAAGAGGAACTAGCAAGGTTCAAGGAGTATAAGGAGAAACTCCGCCCCCACATTGTCGATGCCGTGGAGTACATCCGAGATGTACAAGAAAAGAAACTTTCTGTGCTTGTAGAGGGATCGCAGGCATTGAGTATGTTGAAATACTGCGCCAAGTGTTACTCCGCTAATTGAATTAGTGCTCGATCTTGACTACGGCAGCTACCCCTTCGTAACGTCTTCGGTAAGCGGTCAAACCTGCTACTATGATTGCATTTCGCATGTCACTGACCAAGGGTTTCAAGAACTGCTCGACTGGAGGTTGCATCCAGGGTCTAGGGCTCAGTCCTTTCAACATCAAGTAAGCGCCTTGAATTGTTATGCATCGCGGTCTATATACTTACCTTGTCCCTCACTCGTAGGAATATCATCGGCGTGGTCAAGGCCTACGTAAGTTTTATTCTATTATAGATAAGAGAAAGTTATGTAGGCGCTAACTTCACTGCAGACAACACGTGTTGGTGGTGGACCGTTTCCCACGGAACAACATGGAGATGTCGGCACGACGCTCCAAGAGATTGGCGGAGAGATCGTAAGCGATAACTCTACTTTTATGAGACAAGGACAAAATAACTAACAACTTCCTAGGGTGTCTCTACTGGCAGAAGGAGAAGATGTTCGAACCCCGTGGTTAATGATGCTCAATCTTCGCATTACTAACTTTGAGATAGGTGGATGGCTTGACCTTGTCGTTCTCAAATACTCCACCACAGTTAACCGTGAGCCACTACAGCCCTAGTCTCCATTTTTGTCTTGATGCTAACAAGAGTACAGACTACACCACGTTCAATCTAACCAAACGTAAGCGCAGTGTATTGCCGACGTGTGTTCGCTTTCTAGCTAATATCATTTTTCAGTTGACGTACTCGACTCCTTCCCGACTATTCGAGTAGGCGTTGCATATATCACGCCTAATGGAGAGAGACTAACAAGCTTTCCGGCGGATCTGTCACTGGTAAGAAGCGTAACTTAAAATATATCAGTTGATATCTAATGCGGATTCCAGCTGGAGAAGTGCGAAGTCGAATACGTCGATTTCGAAGGCTGGCAGAGTTCAACCAAGGGAGTGCGACAATGGAACGACCTCCCGCCGCAAGCGCAGAAGTACATCCAGTACATAGAATCGGCAGTTGGTGTTAAGGTGAGCCGTGAAGAATTCTACTGGCAGCATATCTATCTTCTAACGCAGACCAGGTGGCATACATAGGAACAGGCCAAGATCGAAACGACATGATTATTCGGCAATGATGTTCCAGCGCCATGTCGGACCAAAGATCACTATTTATCCAAAGAGAACGGCGGGTAACTATTGCTTAGGACTATCAACATAGACCATCACGGCTTTGTTATCTAGATACTCATTATTGAGTAAGCCTCGTGGCTTGATTAATTGAAATTTTTTTTTTTTTCGAACTTTGATAATTTTGAACTCAATGAACTCAATGAACTCAATAGTATGTTGAACCTTAGAGGTGTGTACCTAGCTAAGTTAGACGCGTCAAAATCAATACCTCAGCCTAGTAGGTACGTATACAACAGCAGCCAATCCCAGTTATACATTGAATGGATTGCATACCTAGGTACACTCACTATTCTCACCGCTCATCCCTTGTAAATTTTGGAATTTATTACCATGTAGACGAGATTTTAAGAAAAAGGTAGCTGACTTCTGGCTCCCCACCTGGAGCTTTAACACCTAAAGCCTAACAGTTAAGGACAATCTCGGAAGCATCCGGACTGGATGTCATCTTGAAACAATAATGTGGCTAGCATCGTTCGTTTGGCTGCATAGACCTTTCAAGGACTCGCCGCTCCCCAATCAAGCTGTGTCTATCAATAAGCTTGGGGACCATAATGTCAAAGCGACAAGTATGACTCATTCACGCTGCCGCAACAAAAGAAAAGAGATCGTGTATAAAAGTGGATGCAATGGGTAAGCAAATGCAATGAACTGAGTACAGTGTGAAGAAGCAACACATCCTGGAACCCCCATTAAGTTGAGTATTTAATGACACTGTGGGCATGGTCTATCTATGGCGAGCCTGTCTATGGCTCGGTTTCACAAGACAGCTAACATTTACCAATGATCTATTCAAAAACGCGGGGTATAATAGTTGAGTCATTCTCGGGAAAATTGAATCACGCACCAGCTATGTGAATGTAGTTCGACGGCTGAGGATCGGTCAAGCAGACAGATGCCTAACTCTTATATATTCATCAACAATCAACATAAATACCACGGGACCTGTTTGGCTTCTTCTCCCTCATCTACTCCTCTACCGAATATCCCCTCACTCGTCTAGCCTTCGCAGAAATGTACACCTCGTCAGATTCAAATTCAGATGGCGCTTCACTCAGCTCCGAGGATGCCCACACGAGAGTCTTCGTAGACCAACTCTCCAAGTGGATGTCTTCTCACCAAGGAGACTTTGCCTTTGCCTGCGGAGGTTCTGTGCCACTTACTGCTCAAAAAAAAACCAGCAGTCAAAAGTATCACCCCTCAGGTCAAGCTTCAGCTTCTGACACTGAAACCTCGGAAACGTCGAGCAAGCCAATCTCCTTACGCTGGGATCCCGAAGACCCGCCAACACCGGCGTCGAAGTGCAAGCTAGCATTTCCCCTTGAACCCTCTACGTCGGACAACCTAGAGAACCTCGTAGCCACCATGTCTCCTGCCACCTTCGGCCGCCACGGGAAAGACGTGTACGACGAGACTTACCGGCGAGCTCTGAAACTCGACACAACTCAATTTTCAACTGATTTCTGCCCTTACGAGTTGGGTATCATCGACGCTGTGGCGCAGATTCTACTTCCGACTCGAGTCAAGAGTAATAGTCTGATAGCTGTCAAAGCTGAGCTGTACAAACTCAATGTGGGTGGCTGCTAGTTCTTGTGCTGAAAGAAGACACCATTCTAACTCTTAGACAGATATACTCCGGTCCCTCGGGTCATTTTCGCGCACACGTCGACACCCCGCGTTCGAACCAGCAATTCGGCTCTCTCGTAGTTTGCCTACCCGCTAAATTCGAAGGAGGGATTCTGTGAGTAACAACCCTAGTAATTCCATAAGGTACCTGAACAATGTATCATCACGACGAAAATAATGGTGTTACTGTTCTGGCGTCTTTTCCGTACTTCTTGATGCTGTTCAGCGACGTGTACTAATAACCTCTACTATAGCACGGTCAGCCACAGAGGCAATAATATGAAGTACGACTGGGCCAAATTAGTGAGCTCTGAACCTGCTATTCATTGGGCCGCGTTCTACTCCGACTGCAAACACGAAGTTCACGAGGTCACGTCCGGGCACCGCGTCACACTAACGTACAACCTCTACGCCGTGCGAGGAAATGGTCGCTTGGGCGATGTGGATCAATGCGAGGCTCTCGACTATGCCAGTTTGCCACTCTACAAGCACATGCGAGACCTATCCGCAAATGAGTCATTCATGCGATCCGGTGAGCAATACCACTACCAGTTGAGAACTTTATCTAATATTTTGCGATAGGTGGTACTCTAGGCTTCTACACTCATCACGTCTATCCGCACAGCAGCAACGCTTCTTTCCTCCCCGACGCGCTCAAGGGACTCGACATGGCGGTCTGGAACGTATTCCAAGCCCTCGGCTATGAGGTTTACCTCCGACCCGTAGTTCACCTTGACGACGACGACAACTACGACGACGGCTGGGACTACGACGACGACGACGACAACGATAACGACGACGACGACAAGGTTGGCTTCGATGTATGCGGACCCTCTCTTAGAATCAAGCACCTAGAGGCGCAGACTGGCGACGGTGGAACCATACATGATGTAGTCCGCGAGTGGAAATACGAATACGAGTATGGTATGAGGAAAACCGAAATAGACATGTCGGACGCATATTGGCTGAACTCAGGGGGGCACGAGGAGCTCCAGTTCACCTATCTTGCCGTAAGTTCTAGTCCCCGACTAATTACCCAGGACCACAAGGTCATTCAACTAACTCTAATTTTCTTATAGTATGGTAATCAAGCGGAAACTGCAGCTGCATACTCTGCGTGCGCGATACTCATCCGTGTTCCAGACTACGACGAGCGAAAGTCCTTCCTCGACAAGCTATAACATCAGAACCTCTCACTAGGTATATCTGGAGCATTTCTTGATATGGTGTCACATAAAAGGCGGGAAAAAAAGAAAAGAAAAGAAAAAAAACTATACAGTATACTTTGGGGGAGGATAAGGTTACTAATGGTAGACTGAGAACATTATCAGGAAACTGGACTAGATAGAAAATGACATATATAAAATCAAGGGTAACACATACACTCATCTTACAAGAAACATTAGTTTTGTATGCCATGAGCACCCAATATAATGGAGAAAGGGATAAGACAAAAATAACGACCGCCACGGGACTCGAACCCGCAATCTTCACCAAGTTTCCGTACTGGAAAGTGATGCGATACCAATTCGCCGAGCGGCCCTGTAACTTATTAGTGCCCTTGCTTTTGTAATTACAATTTGTTAACTCAACGCTTAAGTGTTGTGAAAAAGATGTCTATTGCCTTCGATTTTAGTGGATGGATGTACTTGTTCACTCATTGTTCACATCATCAGCGGGCACGAAACATTCACGAAAAAAGAGAAAGAATTAGGAATGAATCGGCATAGTGTTTTAAGTGTGGTGTTTCATTTTATCTTTTAGTTTCCTGCCTGATCCCCTAGGACGATTCCCTCTACTCTGCTCTTACTCTCCATGCATCCACACCCTTTTCACCGCTAGGCTTGCTGTCCCAGGCCACGATGGCTACGTCCCGCTCACGCGTTGTCGCGAAGTACCCCATGCCTGAAAACCAGGTCCGCAGTGCTGCCCCCCATACGGTGAATCGAACGAGGTTGGGGACGCGGCACAAGGCACAGAAAGATTGCGATGGCCAGTGAGCCCCGATGTTGTCGGTTTGCAGACGTGGGACACCGGGGCTCACTAGCCTCGTTCTCCATCTTGTCCCGCCATCTTCCCTTGGTGTCCTTAGTCCTCTACTTGCCCGAGGGCTTGCCAAGGAGGCTGAGAGCCATCCTAGCCAGCGGGATCCTGAGGGTCGCTCAGCTTGGACGGCTCTCGGTGCCACCCCGGACGATAGGGGACAAGGTCACGCAGAGGTCCGCGGCGATCGAGTTCCAGATCCCAACCGCCGAGTAGGCACGGTCGGAGCGGGCCTCCCTTTGAGAGCTGTCCTCGCCGGCGGTACCCTGAGGGTCGCTCAGCTCGGACAGCTCTCGGTGCCGAGGAGATACTCCTATTAACCGCCGCCGCACCATGACCGAGGAGAGACCGGCCTCACGAGCGCCATCTAAGAGCGGTACCCTATGGGTCGCTAGCTCAGACGGCGCTCGGCACCGCACGACATAGGTTGCGGAACTCGGCGTCGTGTGTCTCGGCCTCGGACCCGGTGGTTGGCATGGGGGGCCCTGGAGTTTGGTTAGGTGTTTCGAGGGAACTCTGGGACCTGGGCTGACCTGGGCTGACCTGGGCTGCTGCCTTTGTGTCGCGTCTGGGGCCAGTGCCTCTGGTCTCGTTGTGAGTTACTCGTCGATGACCAGAGGCACTGACCGGGGTGGGCTCAGGAAGTCCAGGCAGAGGGCCCCGACCGTAAAAGAGGAGACATGGGAGGGGCCAAGACATCATCGGACGTGGTGAGGGAGGGAGAGGTAGGCTACAGACTAAGTCTGTTGACCTTGTGTACCGTAGTATGTAGGTGTTTGGCGCGCAGATCGGCCCCTGGCTAGGAGGGATGAGTCCCACGGACGTGAAGGGAGCACCCGTGTTGAGCGGAGTTGGCCAGATTATGGTTCGGAAGTAGCTTGCCTATAGCCGCCCACAAGTGGGGGACCATGTGCGGGACTGCACGATGGTAGGTAGCTGAGACTTCGTAACGTCCGTCTCAGCTTGGCGGTTGTCAAGCCCCCAGGTTACCCCTTTCCGGCTGCCCTTTTGTAGGGGCAGGCGTACTTTAGGGTTTCCCGGCCCCCGTCACACCGAGAGACGTCCTCGCCAGCGGTACCCTCTGGGTCGCTATAGTTTGGACTCCTCTCGGCGCGTAGTGTTTATGACGGGGGTGGAGACGGCGGACGGGGCATCGGTTGTAGATGGACATAGTGTCTATGCCATCGATCTCGTCATCGACGAGTGCCTCCATCGCCATCCCCAGAGCACCGCATAGGTTCCATCATGTTGCAGGACCCCCCTCCTGCAAGAGACGGATAGGTTTTCATCTTCTTGCAGGACCGCCCACATCTTAGATGTCGGGAGGGACCGCCAGCAAATCGTTATCCCTATGGGGTCGATATCACTGGCGATCGGGGGGTTGGGCATCTGCCTCTCCATCGCCATCCCCAGCGCACCCCCTTCCGCCTCTTCCGCCTCTCCATTGCCATCCCAAGCGCACCCCCTCCTGCAGCAGATGGATTGGTTCCATCATGTTACAGGACCCCCCCTCCCGCAAGAGATGGATGGGTTCCATCATCTTGCAGGGCCGCCCACATCTTAGATGTCGGGGGAATCGCCAGCAAGTCGTTATCCCTATGGGGTCGATAATACTGACGATTGGGGGGTGGGGGCCTGGGGGGCTGTAGAGGTTGCCATCCCCGGAGCACCCCCTCCCGTAAGAGATGGATAGGTCCCATCATCTTGCAGGACCGCCCGCATCTTAGATGTCGGGGGGAACCGCCAGCAAGTCGTTATCCCTAGGTATGGGGTCGACAATACTGGCGATCGGGGGGAGGGGAGGGGAGCGGGTCTTCCCCATTGTTGCTAGGAGCAGTCTGCAGCCCGCAGCCTGAAGGGAAGGTCGAGTGTGCTGTAGGCTGCGGGCCATGGAAAAGGAGAAGTCCCGCGACCTCAGTGATGCGCGGAAGGTTGCCGGAAGGGGCGCCGAGCCAGCTTCTCGTCACAGAAAATCTCAAGCCCTCTGGGCGAGCTAATCTGGACTAGACGAGATGGCCTTGCCAATGTCTCTGGCCTCGTTGTGAGTTACTCGTCGATGACCAGAGACATTGGCAAGGGGGTGAGCTGGGCCAGCGAGTCATATAAGGGGACGTATAACTTCGCTGGGGGTAGGCGTTGGGATCTTGGGTCGTCCTTTTGGGCTCGTGCTATAAAGTGGGTTAGTTAGACGGCCCAGAAAATCGTTTCAAAGAGATATTACTTACGGCGGAGGCCTCATGTCCTCAGGAAGCGTGTCGGAGTCGGAACTCATAGAGCACTGAGCAGCGAGCTAGGGTGGATGGTTTGAGAGCCAGTACCTCGGTACCCTAAAAAAAAAACCAGATTATCTTTATATTTGACAATCTGGAAAAAAAGGGTTCCACTGGCGATCCACCTAGCTGAGGAACTTGCGCATTTGATGCCACGAGCAGGGAAGAGGGTCCAAGTAGACAAAAGTGGCGTCGTGTTCTGGATGTTCCGGCGGTTGATGATGAAAAAGATCTTCTCATTATCCATGGCTTCTTGCTCTGCCCCGTTCACGCCGAGAGCCGTCCTCCCCAGCGGTACCCTGCGGGTCGCTTTAGCTTGGACGGCTCTCGACGTGTCTTCTTCTGCTCCGTGGTGACCACGGAGTTCCGAGTCCAGCGGCCGCAAGTCGTTGAAGACGCCGCGAGTACTGACCGGACGTTCTGGATCTGGAGCGGGCCGGAATGTGATAGAAGTGATGGCCGGGTGCAGGAGGGCCCCTATTGTTGAGTAACGCGGCCTCCCGATCGCCGCCGTCCGAGAGCGGTACCCTGAGGGTCGCTGACTCGGACGGCTGTTGGGAGACCGGCGCTCGAGGCCCTCGTCTCGCTTCCGGCTCACCTATGCCTCTAGTCCACCACCTGTAATAATGATATTAGCATGAGTTGACGAGAGAAGGAGCTGGAGAAAGAATGACAAGCTCACCTTTCTTGAAAGTGGTGGTGGAGAGTTCCTGCAGTGGCGCCGGGACGTGTAGAGGCTCGCCGGCAGGGGGCCTGATCCGGGGGAAAGCCGCTTAGGGAGTGGGCGGCGCCGCTGCCCCTGACGACCGGCACTGAAGCTAGCATCGATACTTGTTGCTTGTTACAAGCAACAAGTACCGATTTCGACCGACCCCGTCCTCGCCAGCGGTACCCACAGGGTCGCTTAGCTCGGACGGGGTCGGTCGGACCCCTAGGGGGTCGAGGCTAGCTATGCCATGGGGTTGGCGGGTTGAGGCTGGCCCCAGTGGCGTAGGCTCGCTAGCAAATAGTTGGTGTGCGCAGTGCCAACCGCCAAGTTGTATACGCCTCTAGCGTGGAGGTTGCCGAGGCAAGTGTATATGAATTGGACATCCCGTTGACGTTCCTTCGTCTCTACAATGACATTCTGTTAGTTTGCATTCAACTATGAGGTCAAGTATAGTTAGACTCTTGCTTGCGAGAAATTCTGAAACTTACTAAAGTAACTGCATCTGTCAAATGATGCGCAAGGTACCTTCTGCCGATTTTCAGCCATTAGTGAGCCGGGAGCTGTTCTTCCTAATCGAGGCGACACCGAGACCGATGCAACAGAGGGACGTAGAAGGGCGACTCCCGCCTACCGCTACCCCGTTGCCGTCCTGGAGCGGTACCCTATGGGTCGCTACCTCAGACGGCAGCGAGCTCATGCAGGAAGCGGAAGTGCCCCTCCTGCTCTCGTCGCCGTTGCCGCCCGAGAGCGGTACCCTATGGGTCGCTACCTCGGACGGCAACAGCGCCATCGGAAATTGGTTTGCCAGGTTTAGGAAGTTGTTGTTGGGGTGACCCCAAGTTGGTAAGCTCCCTAGCTCAGTTGAAGGTTGGCCTCTGCTCACCCAAGACCCTGAAACCGGGGCTGCAAGTGGTATGTCGCCATCTTCGTAAGCGGTATCCTAAGGATCGCGAATTCGGATGGCGACACCACCACTTGCATAGGGGGCAGTGGGGCCAGGGTGGAGGGTGGAGGGTGGAGGGTGGAGGCGTCGAGGCGAAAATGCGGCAAAATTGAAGTGGAGGCCGGGACGAACCGTCGAGCGTACAACTGCTGGTGCAAAGACACCATTCTAGAAGGGCGAAAAGGGCAGAACCCGACCATCGGTTACCCATGGCGGGCAGCTTTGGGGAAGTATGTGCTCATAAAGAGCTTCGGTGTTGCTGATGGCGACATTTGAGTCGTTTGCCGGAGATGTTGGCAACAATTTTGCCCTATGAAGTGATTAGTTAGTGAACATAGCATGAATGATCAAGACTTTGGGAGACTTACCTTACACATTCCCAGAGAATGCTTATCGCAGAGGGTTCTTCTTCTCTTTTTCTCTTCTTTTTCTAGAAAATGTCAGCCTTGCCTGGACGTTGAAAGTAAGATGGGATGAAGCGGGACAGGACGAAGCGGGAAGGAGCGGGAAGGAGCGGGAAGGAGCGGGACGGAACGGGACGACCCGGTACATGAGACAAAAAAAAAAAAGATCGGAA